GACAAAAGTGTACTTAGTCACGTAATCCATTACATTACACATTTTAGGTAATATAATTGGACTACTTTTTGATTACTTTTAGATTGCGTTTGACCTACTTTGTTTATCACATTGATTTAAATAGGGTAATCTTGTCACATATTGATATATAAATACATACAGTATAGAAAGTATATATATATATATATACACTTTTTTTTTTTTTTGAAGTACCTCTGAAATTGTAATGCTTTAATCAGGGGGTTCTCGACTCTGACACTCGAGGTCCACTATTTCCTGCAGAGTTTAGCTCCAACCATTATCAAACACACCTGAACAAAATAATCACGGTCTTCAGGATCACTAGAAAGTTACAGGCAGGCAGGTTTGATCGAGACTGGAGCAAAACTCTGCAGGAAAGTGGATCTGGACAGCCAGAGTTGAGAAGCTCTGCTTTAATCGCTGTCGTCTTGAAAGTACAGATTCACATATTGTAAGATATGATCAACAGCTTTGAGCAGCAGAATATCAGTGTTTTCACCCAGATCCAGCTCTGAGCAGTAGTTCTTCACTGGGACGATGTAGGATGTGGCCATTCCCAGCAGCTCTCCAGCCTTCACCATCTAAGAGAGATCAGTAAAGACAGAAGGAATCGTGTGACGCTCAAACAGCAGAACATGGCAAAGTGAAGCATTCAGATGTAAACATTATAATCAAGCATGACATACCGCCTGCTGAATGGCCTTGCTCTTGTAAACCTTGGTAATGTCACTTCCGGTAGCGTTACAAACCTGGTCCACATGGGTCAGTAACGCCACCTGGTGTACACCTGCAATCCAGACAGTGATATTAGATTTTTCACAGTTCTACCCCCGGTTTCACAGGCAAGGCAAATGTGATTCTGAGCTGTTTCAATTGAAAGAAACTTACACTAACAGCTCTTAAAATATGTCAGTGCCTTTGTTTTGTCTCAAGATGCACACCACTGATGTTTTTTTTTCTAAGGCACCTTTATTAAAAACTACTTAAATGTCCTAATTCAACTATTGCCTAATCCTGGCTTAACCTAAGCCCTGTCTGTGAAACCAGGCCATAGATTCTTAATAATAATAATATATACTAGAGGTGTAACGGTACACGTATTCGTGCCGAAAATTTTCGGTCTTTACGTGTTCGAATCATGAATTTTTTTCAGGAAATTCAGACAATGCCGTTTTGGCGCTCTTTGATGTGGCGTGACAGATCTCTGTATAGAAGACTCAGCTCTGACGGCAGCATGGAGCGCGAGTGAGCGAGATCATCCCTTCCTCTTTATACTACTAGTTTTAACGTGAAATAAACATGAATGAACATCTCATGCCTCATGTAATCATCAGTGTCTACAGCTCGTCAGTTTCCTAGAGAAATGAAGTCTAGAGAAGAGCATTTTGAGAAATATTAGACTATACTCATTATATTTTACTTTACCTGATAGTGATGCCTTAATTATTTAATGTACGTTTTAAATAAATCTTTTAGGAAACAAGCCACTGTGTAAATTATTATATTTCAACAAGAAATAGAATTTAAAGGTTAATTTAAAAACTGCATTATGTGCAATTTACATGTTTGCATACAATTTTTTTTTTTTTTATTTGAGTGCTGATTATTATAGTTAAAAATAAATAGTCATTTAAGTTTGGGCTCTGTTGTTAATTGTAACCTTATAGTAATTTACAAGGGATACCTATGATTTAGAGCAGAAGCTGAGGTAGATTTTTATCCTTAAGAAAATATTAATTATAATTGAATGTATTTAATAAAAGAGCAATTTATTCAGTAAACCATTGTTTAATTAAAAAAAGTTTAGTTTTTTCCCTCCTGCTGTACCGAAACCATACTGAACCGTGACGTCAAAACCGAGGTACGTACCGAACCGTCGTGTTTGTGTACCGTTACACCCCTAATATATACAGTATGAAACAAAGCTAAAGACTATTAAGTGAAGCATCAAAGACCTGTTCACACCAAAAACGATAACTATAAATAAACTATAACGATTAAGATATTTCTCTTTAAAATACTTTTTTGTTCTGTTCATCCCATTTTTATTGTGAGAACGCTTTCTTTGGAAGTAAGTGTTGCACATATGATTCATGCTTCAAACATAACTCACCTAAGTTGCTAATGTGTTCTCTTAACTGCTGGAAAGTCGCGCCAAAGCTTTTGGCGTAGGAACCGACTTTTGAGCCGTCTATCACAAACACCACACAGTGCACTTTATCATTAGTGCTCGGTTTCTTTAAGAAGCCCACAGTCTCTGCTCCAATCGGCTGCTCAGGGCTAAACTGCAGTGGCAAAGCAATGTTTTACTGGAATACAGTAGTAACTGTACTGTTAACAACTACACATTTTGTCAACATTGAGTTATGAGTTCACTGTAAAATACTTGTAATTTTCGGTAATTTACCAGGCCATAGATTCTTAATAATAATATATACTAGAGGTGTAACGGTACACGTATTCGTGCCGAAAATTTTCGGTAATTTACCAGGCCATAGATTCTTAATAATAATATATACTAGAGGTGTAACGGTACACGTATTCGTGCCGAAAAGTTTCGGTAATTTACCAGGCCACAGATTCTTAATAATAATATATACTTGAGGTGTAACGGTACACGTATTCGTGCCGAAAATTTTCGGTAATTTACCAGGCCATAGATTCTTAATAATAATATATACTAGAGGTGTAACGGTACACGTATTCGTGCCGAAAATTTTCGGTAATTTACCAGGCCATAGATTCTTAATAATAATATATACTAGAGGTGTAACGGTACACGTATTCGTGCCGAAAATTTTCGGTAATTTACCAGGCCATAGATTCTTAATAATAATATATACTAGAGGTGTAACGGTACACGTATTCGTGCCGAAAATTTTCGGTAATTTACCAGGCCATAGATTCTTAATAATAATATATACTAGAGGTGTAACGGTACACGTATTCGTGCCGAAAATTTTCGGTAATTTACCAGGCCATAGATTCTTAATAATAATATATACTAGAGGTGTAACGGTACACGTATTCGTGCCGAAAATTTTCGGTCTTTACGTGTTCGAATCATGAATTTTTTTCAGGAAATTCAGACAATGCCGTTTTGGCGCTCTTTGATGTGGCGTGACAGATCTCTGTATAGAAGACTCAGCTCTGACGGCAGCATGGAGCGCGAGTGAGCGAGATCATCCCTTCCTCTTTATACTACTAGTTTTAACGTGAAATAAACATGAATGAACATCTCATGCCTCATGTAATCATCAGTGTCTACAGCTCGTCAGTTTCCTAGAGAAATGAAGTCTAGAGAAGAGCAAAATATTAGACTATATACTCATTATATTTTACTTTACCTGATAGTGATGCCTTAATTATTTAATGTACGTTTTAAATAAATCTTTTAGGAAAAAAGCCACTGTGTAAATTATTATATTTCAACAAGAAATAGAATTTAAAGGTTAATTTAAAAACTGCATTATGTGCAATTTACATGTTTGCATACAATTTTTTTTTTTTTTATTTGAGTGCTGATTATTATAGTTAAAAATAAATAGTCATTTAAGTTTGGGCTCTGTTGTTAATTGTAACCTTATAGTAATTTACAAGGGATACCTATGATTTAGAGCAGAAGCTGAGGTAGATTTTTATCCTTAAGAAAATATTAATTATAATTGAATGTATTTAATAAAAGAGCAATTTATTCAGTAAACCATTGTTTAATTAAAAAAAGTTTAGTTTTTTCCCTCCTGCTGTACCGAAACCATACTGAACCGTGACGTCAAAACCGAGGTACGTACCGAACCGTCGTGTTTGTGTACCGTTACACCCCTAATATATACAGTATGAAACAAAGCTAAAGACTATTAAGTGAAGCATCAAAGACCTGTTCACACCAAAAACGATAACTATAAATAAACTATAACGATTAAGATATTTCTCTTTAAAATACTTTTTTGTTCTGTTCATCCCATTTTTATTGTGAGAACGCTTTCTTTGGAAGTAAGTGTTGCACATATGATTCATGCTTCAAACATAACTCACCTAAGTTGCTAATGTGTTCTCTTAACTGCTGGAAAGTCGCGCCAAAGCTTTTGGCGTAGGAACCGACTTTTGAGCCGTCTATCACAAACACCACACAGTGCACTTTATCATTAGTGCTCGGTTTCTTTAAGAAGCCCACAGTCTCTGCTCCAATCGGCTGCTCAGGGCTAAACTGCAGTGGCAAAGCAATGTTTTACTGGAATACAGTAGTAACTGTACTGTTAACAACTACACATTTTGTCAACATTGAGTTATGAGTTCACTGTAAAATACTTGTAATTTTAATATAAAAAGTAATGTTCTACAGTACAGTAAAAGCTTGTTAATTGATAACTATCATGCAAACAGTTACATTTCAAAAGATAATGAAATTTGTCTGTAAAATACTGTAAAAAATGTGTACTTCGTTACTTTCTAAAATATTGTAACTCTTATGTTTTAAAAATATGAATCACCTTATAATTCCCAGAATGACACATTACAGTATGCCTGTTTTTTTTATGTAAATGGTTACTTTCTTTTCTTTAATAATTATGGGCACTCATATGTTCTATGTTACATTTTATGTTATTTAGTTCATGGGTTTTTATACTGGGCAGAAGTGCATTTGAGGTGAAATATTTAAGATTTTAATTAAATTAATATCTTATTGTCATTGTTTTTATGTTCACATTCACTAAATTTAATATTCATTAAAAGCCAATTATTTAAATTTGGAAACAATTATTTGTCTTAATATTACTACATTTGATATTTTCTGATAATTCGCTGTGAACCCACTATTTCCTAAGAATGTGTCGATTAATGTAGACTGGCGTTGTTCTAATTACTTCGTTTAATAATAAAGAAGTTTAGCAGCCAAACTTTAGCTGTGGGCACGATTTGCTTGCATAAGTGTTTTTGTATTTTATGTCATTATTATAAGAACGGATTGGAGCACAATATTATTGTTTTATGTAAAGGTGCTTTGTCAATGGTAGCGTTCGCTAACTTGCTCAAGGACTCTTCTCTGTGCCAATCACAGCAGGCTTGGCCAGCTGACCAATCAGAGCAGAGTAGGTTTATCGAAGGGAGGGGTTTGCTCCGAACTTGCTTGGAACGAATTGTTTCGAAATCATTGGCAAATGACTCTAATATTAAATGTATATTCTGAGAAAATTACAATGTTTTCTGACCTTAGATGCATTTAAACCTGTTGTAGCTCCACACAATATTAGGACACTTTAAAATACCATATGACCTGCTCTTTAAGTTTAGATTTGAATAATAATATTATTCAATTTAATAGTATATAAGTTTATGAACTGTAAAATATACAGGCACATGCATGGGCCCTTCACACCAAAGACGATAATGATAACTATAATGATAACTATATTAGAGAAAAAAAGAAAAAGTATAAAAAGCTAGATGCCGCTGGAGACATAGAAGAACGAATGGATTCCTGTTTGAGAGCCTTCTCTATGTACTCCTCCATGGCCTTCTGTTCCCGGATGGACAGTGGGTAAATATGGCCTTTGGGTAGTGTGGCCCCAGGCAGCAGGTCGATGACACAGTCCCATGGCCAATGAGGTGGTAATTCTGTGGCGGCCTGTTTGCTGAACACATCCTGGAACGCCCGGTAGTTTAGTGGAATTGCAGGAGTGTTGGAGGTTTCTGGACTCTCAATCGAAGTGGAGCAGAGGGTTACTTTTCTCGGCTGAGAAGATAAAGGATGTGTGGGTGGCTTGTGAACAGACGACACACAGTTCTGGAAACAGTAGTCACTCCATTGGACGATCTCACCAGTGTTCCACTTCACATTAGGGGAGTGCTGAGTTAACCACCGGCGTCCCAGGATGACTTCGGCAGTCACACCCCCACCTTATATTAAGTGGTTGTTGACAGGTTTTGACCACCATCATATGGTGCATTCCAAACGGGATATATCGCCCTCCGAGGGGCACTTCGGAGTGAAAACAATCATGGCCGCCATATTGAAGGGTCGTTCCAAACCGAAGTGCTCAAAACTGGCCACTTCAAAGGGCCCTTCGGAATGAAGGATTTCAAAGGGTACGACTGATGGACACTTCGACCCCCCATGATACTTTGTGGGGCTGCAACTAACGATTATTTTGATAATCAATTAGTTGGCCGAAATTTTTTTTTGATTAATCGATTAATCAGATAAAAAAAGCCCAATTTTCTTTTTTGTTTTTTTTATTGACAAAAAAACACACTATTCCACATTCTGCCCAATGTCCTTCAAACAAACGTGCCAACTGAATGCTATGAAAACATACAATGCTTAATTTATTAGACCACCTGTCATAATAAAGAGAAAACACAAATATTTTAGGAATCTGTCAAAAAATTGTTTAAATCTAAAAATGTTAATGCAATTTATTGGGCAAATAACAAACTGAAACAAATAAATAGTATTTATTTACATAATAACAAAAATGGCCTCTCATAACATTCCTATGCCTTTCATAACAGCTTGCATTCTTGCTGCCATTGTTTAGGTACTTTTTGACTGTAATTGGGCATCTGGAAAAAACACTATAAAGTGCTTGACTATTTTTTCTGCCTTTCTTTCATAGACAACAGCAATAATCATATTATAGCATTAGAAATAGCCTACTGTTACTAAAGAGCGTACACAAATTGAAGGTCTAACCACAGAAAGCGAAAAAATGATTTTGGTAATCACCAATACTTTTAGTTTAGAGTAGCAGTGGCACAAAGCTTACCTCATTTGTTAAAAACCTTACATAAATTTTGTTTTAATAAATTTGTTAAGCACTGTATAGTGAATAGTTTAAATCTCTACATTAAAAATTTAAATAATAATAAAGATAATAAAGACGAATAAAATCACAAACTCAGTGTTGACCAACAGGTGAGAGTAATGTTCTGCAGGAACACATTCACTTTGATCACAATCACGTCTTACTGTCATTTCTTTATCCTATAAAAGACGGTTATGAATGAATGAATGATGCACTTATATAGCGCTTTTATGGTTCACATCCTTCTCCCGCAGCATCTCATTCTGTTTCCTCCACTATTGTTAGATGCATTTTGTAATTCAGTGCTTTAATTTGACGCGGCCAGCTGAAGTTAGACGTGCACTGTGGGCAGACCCGACTAATCGTTGTTGCAGCCCTAATTCTTTGCACTGATTCTTTCCATGATGACGGCGCCTCCATATGGGCACGGGATATTGACGCAGAAGGACACTTTAAGGAACAGTTGTTTGGTCCCCTACCCCCTTCAACCCTTCAAAGCTCTCACTCTGGAGGGTAAACCCTTTGAAGGGATTAGGGCATTAGGGCCCTTCCGAATGGAACGCAGGGATAGTCACTTAGGCCCCGTCCACACGGAGACGCGTTTAGCTGTATAGCATAAATTTTGTATCGTATAGGCGTTTCGTGCAGACGGATCCGGCGTTTTGGGAGAGTGAAACTGATATTTTTTTAAACCGGGTCTCAGAGTGGATAAATCTGAAAACGCCGCCCTTGCGTTTTCGTGTGGACAGCGAATCTGTATATTTTCTGAAACGATGACGTCATCAGCCCACGTCTCGCCCCTAGTCAGACACCGCTACGCCACGTAACAGCAACAAAAACATGAACAAACACTGAACCATTGTCTTTTTATTAACTAACATTAACACAGATTAATACATGTATTGTTCCATGTTCGTTTGTATACCGCGCGCAAGGTTTATGCGCATAGTCCAAGTCTTCTTCTCCGTTTTTAGTGCATCTCTGTGGCAGAATTATAGCGCCACATACTGGTCTGGCATGTATACTACATCGTTTTGTGTCGGTTTTTTCTTGAGACAAGG